ACTCAAAAATTGATAATGAAAATGTACAAACAGGTCAAGTGTTTTGGATGATGTGTGCTATTATTATTATTATTTTTTTTTTTTTGAGCGATATGAGTTTGAGAAAATACTGTATAAGATCATTTAATGGAAGACTCTAGTGTTAATTTTTTTTTTTTTTTAACTACAATAACGGTTTACACGTTCTATGTTGGTATTATTATTATGTTGGAATGACATTATTTTCCCTTCATTTTTATAGAATATTTATTTTTTGTACCATGTACTTATTATGATAATTAATAAAATTTAATATAGTACAAATATATAAATACTAACATTGCTTTTTCAGGTGGATTGAAAAACACATGAATTATCAGCCAGTTAACCACCAGTCTGATCAACACACAAAGATAAATCCTATGGAAATATTTACAAAGATGCTCTAATAACAGGTGCTTCTCTATTTAGTAATTTTCGTAAATGCGTCAAATATTGTAATTGCTCTCTAAATTTAAGTATATTATAATTTAAACACTCGTGCTTCCCCACTATATATATATATTATATATTTAAATATTAACAAGCTACCAAGACAATGTCTGTTAGTGCTAGTGCTGAAAATTTAACCACAGATTCTCTGACAAGAGGGGGTGATGCCAATATGTGTTTAGAATTAGCTCTAGAAGGCGAGCGTCTCTGCAAAAGTGGAGATTGTAGAGCTGGTGTAGCATTTTTCCAAGCAGCCATTCAAGCTGGTACAGACGACCTTAGAACGCTTAGTGCCATATACAGTCAGCTGGGCAATGCATATTTTTATCTTGGTGATTATGTAATGGCTATGCAGTATCATAAGCATGACTTGACTTTGGCAAGGTCTATGGGTGACAAGCTTGGAGAGGCCAAATCCAGTGGCAATTTGGGTAACACTTTAAAAGTCATGGGAAAGTTTGACGAAGCCATGATATGCTGTAAACGACATTTAGAGATATCTAGAGAAATCGGGGACAAACTGAGCGAGGGCAGGGCTTTGTATAACCTGGGTAACGTGTATCATGCCAAAGGCAAGCAAAATGGCAGGATTGGACATCAAGGTTCTGGTGAGTACTCAGAGGAGGTCAAAGAATGTCTGCTGCAAGCGGTCAACTATTACCTAGAAAATTTAGAGCTCATGAAAGAACTTGGAGATTCGGCGGCTCAGGGCAGAGCGTGTGGCAATCTGGGTAACACGTACTATCTGTTGGGCGACTTTCAAAAGGCCATCCAGTACCATAACGAGCGATTAAAAATCGCTCGGGAGTTTAGCGAAAAGGCTGCGGAACGCCGTGCTAACAGCAACCTCGGCAATTCCCACATATTTTTGGGTGAATTTGAGAAGGCAGCTCAGCACTACCGTCGCACTCTAGTGCTCGCGCAAGAACTTGGCGACCAGGCGTTCGAGGCACAGGCCTGTTACTCGCTGGGCAACACTTATACTTTGCTCAGAGACTATGCAGCTGCTATCGAGTATCACTTGCGTCACTTGATGATAGCTCAGCAACTGAAAGACAGGGTTGGCGAGGGAAGAGCCTGCTGGTCGTTAGGCAACGCCTATTCGGCCATGGGCAATCACGTTGAAGCTCTACGTTATGCCAAATCGCATCTGCAGATCTCAAAAGAGTTGGGCGACACCATGGGCCAGGCTACTGCTCAGATGAACGTCATCGACCTCCAAAAAATGCTGGGCATCGAGAAAACCGGCGATGACGATAAGAAAAATCTGCTAAATGTCGTGACAGCCAACATATCCGCCTCGTCTCCTGGAAGATACAGAATCCGCAGGCAGAGCATGGACAACCTGGATCTGATTAAATTGACGCCAGACGGGAAATCGAAACAGGATCGAAACGAGGACCAGGCGCCACCTCCGCGTGCCCGGGGACAGTCCCAGCCAGCTGGGCGTAAGAACAATCTGGACGACGACAACGACGACAGCTTCTTTGAGTTGCTGTCCCGCTTTCAGTCGCCGAGAATGGACGACCAAAGATGTGACTTGCGCTCTGGAACCAACCCTAAGTCAAAAAACAATAACAATAACAACGGCAGCAGGGATCTGCTTAAACAGTCCAAAAAAGACAAAGACGAGGAAGAGCTTATGCAGTTGATAATGGGCATGCAGAGCAAGCGTATGGACGAACAGCGAGTACCGCTACCGGATTTGCCCGGTCTCACGTCCAGGCGCCAGAAGACAACGGATAATGCCGAGTCCGACAATACGGAGCTTCAGAAGCAGCAGATCGTCGACGAGGACTCGTTCCTCGAGATGTTGGCTCGCTGCCAAAGCTCGAGGCTCGAGGATCAGCGCAGTCCCCTGCCGGCTACCTGTCCCAATGTATTGAAAGACGTGGACGAGCAAGAGTCCCAGAAGAACGATAATGACGACGTTGGCTCGGCAGGTGCTACCGTCCCTGAAGAAGATCTCTTTGCGCTGATTCAGAGGTTGCAGTCTGGGCGCATGGAAGAACAACGCGCTCTTCCTATTAAGATCTAAAACGCAGGTGCCGATTTCGTTTTTTTTTTTTTTTTTTTTTTTTTTTTTTTTTTTTTTTTTTTTTTTTTTTTTTTTTT